TATTATAATTTAACTTTTACAACACAAAATAAACATCATCTAATTAAATAACTTGTTTCTTTATTCTTAGGAGGTAAGTATTATATTATAATTTAACTTTTACAATGCCAAATATACATCATCTAATTAAATAATTTGGTTTTTATTTCTTTATAATAACCAGCATGTAAGTATTATGTTATAATTTAACTTTTACAACACAAAATAAACTTCATCTAATTAAATAATTTGTTTCTTTATTTCATAGATTGTAAGTATTATATTATAATTTAACTTTTACAACACAAAATAAACTTCATCTAATTAAATAATTTGTTTTTTTATTTCTTTATAATAACCAGGGTGTAAGTATTATATTATAATTTAACTTTTACAACACAAAATAAATATCATCTAATTAAATAATTTTTTTTTATTTCTTAATAATAACCAGTTGGTAAGTATTATATTATAATTTAACTTTAAAACACAAAATAAACATTATATAATTAAATAATTTGTTTTTTATTTCATAGAGAGTAAGTATTATATTATAATTTAACTTTTACAACACAAAATAAACTTTACCTAATTAAATAATTTGTTTTTTTATTTCTTTATAATAACCAGGGCGTAAGTATTATATTATAATTTAACTTTTACAACACAAAATAAACTTCTTCTAATTAAATAATTTGTTTTTTTATTTCTTTATAATAACCAGGGCGTAAGTATTATATTATAATTTAACTTTTACAACACAAATTAAACATCATAATCAAATAATTTGTTTTTTTATTTCATAGAGAGTAAGTATTATATTATAATTTAATTTTACAACACAAAGTAAACATCATCTAATTAAATAATTTGTTTTTTTGTTTCATAGATTGTAAGTATTATATTATAATTTAACTTTTACAACACAAAATAAACATCATCTAATAAGTAAATTTGTTTTTTATTTCTTTATAACCAGATTGTAAGTATTATATTATAAATTAACTTTTATAACAACTAACAACTAAATAAAATTAATTTTTATTTCCTTATAATAACCAGCTGGTAAGCATTATATTGTATTATAAATCAATTTTTATAATTTTTATATCTAATTAATAAGTTTATTTTTATTTATTTATAATAACCAGCTGGTAAGTAGTATATTATAAATTAACATAAAAATAAATTTTATTAAAACATCATCTAATAAATTTTTTTTATAATAACCAGGGAGTAAGTATCATATTATAAAATTAACATTTACAACACAAAATAATTTTTATTAAAACATCAATTAATAAATTTTATTTTTCTTTATAATAACATAATATCCAGCATGTAAGTAATTTTTACAACACAAAATAAATTTTTATAACATCATCTAATTAAATTATTCTTTATTTCTTCATAATAACCAGCTGGTAAATATTATATTATATTATAAATAATTTTTACAACACATTGTCTAATTAAATAAATTTATTTTTTGCATTTATAATAACAATTAAAGGTAAAATAATTTATAAATTTATCTTTTAAATAAATGTCTATTTTTATTATGTTGAAAAATAATTCTATTCTATTTTTAATTTTTATTATGAATAATAAGATAACACTAAGGGGTTTAAAGAAAGAAAAGAAGAATATGGAACCTGTATTGTTTGTGCAAGATATAATACTAATTACCAGTGGTGTCAATCATGTGATCCCAAATTGTTAGCTCAAAGTTGGACTAGCAGTGGTAAT